ATTTTTGGTGTTTCAGATACAGATGCTGATGTTGAAGTTAATCTACATGATAATTAAATTCCTGAAACTGAGAAGCATATTGATGACTTGACATTCACTCAAGGTGTTTTATACATGAATTCAACATCGAATTCTCCAAGAATTGACGAAAGTATGCTTAATAATCAAGTGGTTGGGGAGCACTTGAATTTGACTACTCCAGTTGAGGGGGGAGCATCCTTTTGAGGGGGAGAATATGAGAATGGATAATGATGTTGAGGGGGAGCATCTAATTGAAGTGAATATCGATGGGGAGCAAAACGATCCAATAGAATCGAATTCTGGTTATAATGAAAATTTTCATGATTCTAATGACAATAATTTTATTGCAGGATCTGAAAATGACGAATTGTTTGAAGATGCACCATTGGATTTTGATCCAACATATCCACCTTTAGATAAATGGACAAGAAATCATCCAAAAGAATAAGTTGTTGGAAATTCACAAAAAGGGGTGTTAACCAGGGGTCAACTTCGTGCAAATAATGAAGTACTAAATGAACATCAAGAGTTTTGCATGTTTAATGTTTTCATTTCGAAAATTGAACCAAAATTTGTTAAGATTGTAATGAAACATTCAAATTGGGTTGTTGCAATGCAATCTGAATTGGCTGAATTCGAAAGAAACAAAGTTTGGAGATTAATTTCTAAGCCAAAAGATGTTTCGATAGTTGGGTTAAAATGGATTTTCATAAATAAAACAGACAAAGATGGTAATATTGTTTAGAAATAAAGCTAGGGTTGTTGTAAAAGGTTGTTCACAACAAGAAGGAATAGACTATGAATAAACTTTCACCCCTGTCGCAAGACTCGAGGTAGTTCGAATATTTTTAGATTATGCAACTCATAAAGATTTTGATGTTTATCAAATGGACGTGAAATATGCATTTTTGAATGGAGAGCTTGAAGAGACTTTGTATGTTGAAAAACCTCCATGTTTTATTAATGAAAAGTATCCTGGTCATTGTTATAGTTTAGATAAAGCAGTATATGGGTTAAAACAAGCACCAAGAGCATGGTATGGTACTTTAAATTATTTTTTAAAACAATCGAAATTTAAACAAGGATCAGTTGATCCCACTCTATTTCGAAAGAAATAGGGTATCATCTAATGCGTGTTCAAATTTATGTTGATGATATTATTTTTGTCTCTACTGACCCAGCTTTGTCTAATGAATTTCAAAATCTGTTGAAAAGAAAATTTGAGATGAGTATGATGGGAAAAATCAACAATTTTCTTAGGTTAACCATTCGTCAAAGCAGAGAAGGAATTTTTATCAATCAAGAAAAATATACCAAGAATCTACTAGAAAATTTTGGATTGACGAATAGCACGAAATTACGAGTACCAATGGCAACTGGAACAAGGCTGACACCTTCGTTAGATAAACCTGTTGTTGACTTGACTCTTTACAGAAGCATGATAGGTTCATTACTGTAACTCACGACAAGTAGACTTGATATTATATTTTATGTTTGTAATTGTGATAGGTATCGGTCGAATCCTCGAAAACCACATTTCATTGGTGTCGAGAAAATTTTTCGTTATCTCAAAGGATCAATTTCGTTAGGATTGTGGTATCCTTTGAAAACTGGATTCTTCATACAAGCATTTTCAGATGCTGATTTTGGAGGTTGCAATCTGGACAAGAAAAGCACAAGTGGAGGTTGTCAATTATTAGATGGGAGGTTAGTAAGATGGAAATCGAAAAAGCAAACATGTGTTTCAATTTCGATAGCAGAAGCTGAATATGTTGCTGTTGCAGCTTTCACTTCACAAATCATTTGGATTCAAAGTCAACTGCATGATTATGCAATCAATATGAAGAAAATACCATTCTATTGTGATTCACAAAGTGCAATACGAATTTATCACAACTCAGTGCAACATTCGAAAACAAAGCACATTGATCTTCATTATCATTTCATTAAAGATCATGTTGAAGATGGTAATATTGAAGTTCATTTTGTAAAAACCATTGATCGATTGGATGACATTTTCACAAAACCATTAGATGAAAAATCTTTTGTTAGAATTTTGGGAGGACTCAGAATGATAGAAGGAAGTTCAGAGGTGCTGAATGAGTTTACAAAGGAATTTCATTAAGCGTTCTGAGGTTACTATTCATACTCAGCGCTTCGACACACTTTGATTTCGACAACATGTGCTATTTGTTTAATAGCAAAAAATTTCTTCAGTCAGTCAAAATTTTTCGTAGTTTATCAAAAAAATTCATTAGTTTATAACATATTTTTCGTTAATCAGTGTCATGGTTTTCTTTTCAAAAAATCAAAAACATCAAAAAGATTTTAATTTTTTTTTGTCTTTAAATTTTCGAAAAATCAAAAACATCAAAAAGATTTTAATTTTAATATTTTGTCTTTAAATTCTCGAAAAAAACAAAAATACAAAAAAGATTTTATCTTATTGAGTTTTTCTTTTTCGATAAATCAAAAACAACAAAAATATTTTTATCTTGTTTTCATGATTGGTTGTTACAGGTTCCCATGATGATCATTCTTGAACTATGCTTGCAATTCTAGGGTCAGGTATAATTTTCGAACATTTTAAACTAGTTAGGTTGTCCCTAGAAGCATGTTGCAGCATGTCGATCCAAGTCTCTTTTGACTCAATGTGTGTTTTTGAAGCTTTAATGAAGTTCTCATATAGAAAATTTCTTCCCAATCAGGTTATATTCATATTGGTCCATGAGCTACCATACTCTACTCAAATGAGTTTAGAGTTGTCTGCTTGGTCCATCACTAGCAGTGGTACTTTCAATATTCTTTACCCAATCTTTTTCATCACAAAGTTCTTACACGATTCACACACAGCGACATATGTCCTTGAGATCTTTAATCAAACCAATCAGGATTTAGACATATCAAATTTCTGTGTTAATAATCTAACATCATGAGACCGTGATGAAAGTGAAACCCAAAATATCGAACTCAATTAAGGAATTGACGGGGAAATTTATTCCAGATTTAACGAAACAATTGTTCTGGTACCAACTTTCGTAACTCCAAATCATATTCAATTCTTTTGAGTGGTCTTGATGAAATATTCAAATCCCACGATATTTGTTACCCAACAAAATCTAGCACACAATTTTTTTTAATATGATTTCCATGAGAGTTTCATTTGCTTTCTAAGTCACTTTATATATTTTCCAAAGCATACTTGTCACTGACTACACTGGTCATACGTGTAATTTTTCTTACAATTACTCACATTTATGTTAAGTGTTGATATGTAAAGAAATTTTTATCCACCCATGAAGCTTGTTAAAAAGAGGCCCTTCGATACTTCTCTATAAGTATTCGATTGTAAATCACGGGAAACCACACAAGCAGTTGATCATCTCTCTTGATGATTAACGAAGCAACCTTTGCTTAGGGTTTAACTGCTTTTATGTCAAAAATTTGTTTTTCGACATCACAGATGTAAAATTTTCATTTATTTTCCTCTTATCTTATCTTTGACACACTGCACTCACGAAATCCTTGAGGCTCTGAGTAATACCAACTCAGGCTGATGATTTCGACAGTCTGGCATATGATTTCGCTTTTCATCCTAAAAGTGAAAGAGCCTTGCCTCCATACCAAAGGTTTTGTGACAGTTACTATTCTATCAGGATGTACAAATAGGTTGTTTAATAACACGCCATGTATTCTTTATGGGTTTTAAGGAGATGTGATAGTTACTTCATCAAGCACGGCTAGTTTATCGGCGTGAGGGTGCGATTTTCAAGGTGCCACATCGGATCTCATTTAACGACTGATCTCGCTTTAATTTCAAATTCAAGGGTTGCTTATAAAAAAGGTTTCTAGGGTTCTTCATTTAGTTAAGTTTTTTTGAAGAACACTCCCAAATTTACTAAGAACTCTCTGTTCATTCAAGATTCAAACCCTAACCATGGCCGCACCTGCTCATGTTGTTGAACTATCACAAACAACTGAAGATATATCTTCTCAACCTATCATGAAGATTCAAAGCACCAACTATCAAGTCGAGGCGGATGTTTCTCTGTACCCTGAAGAGTTGAAGATGTTGATCGTGTCTTTGAAAAATTCTGTCTTGTCTACTGTAATGTTCAATTGTTTTGTTGTTCCATTATCCTTTCTCTCTTTAGCAGGATCCACTGCAACTTACAGTAAAGCTCTAGATTTCATTACCTTCAACCGGGTGAATGATAAGAAGATTCGTCTATCTAATAAACGGTTCTGTCAAAATCTTGAAATTCCTAATTCTCCACCCTATACTGATCTTACAAATGCTCAAATTATTCATATGTTCAATGAGACGGGTCATCAACCCCCACTCACCAAGATCAATGAATTCAAGAAGTCAAGCCTTCCAAGCATTTGGAATTTTCATTTTGGTATTTTCCTTTGTTGCTTGACTGGTTGCAGTGTTGGTTTGGACAAAGGACGAATGGAGGTTTATGTCATGGTATTTGGGCTTTATTATGATCTTACTGTTGATTATTCCACTCAGATGTGGAAAGAGTTTCAGAAGAGTGTGGAGAATACCAATGTGGTTCAAGTAATTTCGTGTGCAAGATACCGGAGTTCAATTCTTCAACATGTGTATGATAAAGAAGGGATTGAGGTTCCAACTGATGAGGGAAAAGTTGAGTTCTTGAAGTATCATTTTCCAAAGGAGGTTAAAGATGATGAATAGGTGTTTACAAACATTGCAAGGATTCCATATGCAATGTTAAAACGTGTTGATCCAGTAAATCTAGTTTTTGTAGAGTATTTGAAGACCGTTAATCCTGATGTTGAAACAGGGCTGTTGTTGTCGAAGTTAGATGAAGGTCATTCAAAAAAGTCTCCATGGTCCAAGCAAGATGCTAAATCCACTCATGAGAAACCTGTGCAAAAACCAAAACCAAAGAAGCCTTTGAAGAAACAATCTAAGGAGGAGGGATAAGTTTCATTATTAGTTACACTGCATGTTAAGCCTGATGTTGGTGAGACAGTTAAAGAAGTACTTCCATCAAAGTCTAGAGTTTTCAAATGAATCAAGCAAAAATATCGTGGTTCACAAAAGTCTCCAGAAACGTCATCTAGTTTTTTCTCCAACAATGGTTCGAAAACCTCATGTTACACGGCAAGGGGTAATCATTCGTGAAGTTCAAGCTCCAGCTTCTCCTTCATCAAAGAAATGAAGACCTAAAGATATGGCGAAGCATATTTCAAAGAAGATTAAGAAACGAAAGTTGGTTCTTCAAAATGAATCTTCTAAAGACGAAGAGGTTCCTGAAACTCCTGAAGCTATTCTTTCCAAAACAATTTTGTCTCTTGAGAAGACACAAGTCACACCACCTGAGGTTTTGTTAACCAAGTCATCTTATGAGGAGGTTCAAATCTCAGACATCACTACAAACGTATCTGATACGAATGTAAATGTCACCATGGGTGAAGGAGATATGCATACATAAATTATTGTATTGACTCAAGGTATTCCTGAAACTTCTATCATCGATACTTCTGTTTCTTTACCACCATATATCATACTTGTTGCCACAACCACAAATTCACCCACGTTTGAACATGTTATCAGCCATCCCTTTACTTCTCTTTTCTCATCCCAATCTACTCATCCACAAAAACCTGTTGATGAAATTGATATGGATGATGGAGGTACTTTTAAAGATATTGAATTCGATGATGAAGAAGACAATATCCCAGATCACATGTTAAAGTCTGGAAAGCAGTTCAAGATTCTTCACAAGAAGCTGAATTCGATACTTCTGTCTCAAGATGATGTCGGGGGCAGACAGTCTGTGTCTGGTGTGGAAATTAATGTGATGCTCAAAGATCATGAAGAGAGGTTGGCTAACAAATTTTCTGGATTGCTTCAAGAGTCAGAATCTAGAATTATGGAGAAGGTTGACCATAATGACAAGAATAATGAATTACGAATTAAGTCTCAATCTTCGAATTTTGAAGGGGAAGTGAAAGATTTGAAACATGTGGCCAAAGAACGACTTGTGTTGTTCGTTCAGGATGTCAAGAAGGTTCGAGAAGATGTCAATTTTAAACTTCAAGAACTTAGAGAAGACATGGCGAAAGAAATAGTAGTGGTACAACAAGATTATGCTTCTTTGAATCAGAAAGTTGACATAATTGCTGATGTGGTCACTAAGTTTGTGAAGTTATATGAAAAGTTGAGTCCTCAAATTACTCAACTGTCCACCCAGGAGAGTAAGAGTTTGGCTGAGATTTCCACTCAGTTGAATGAATTGAAGACCTTAATTTCGAAGTTTGGATCATCTCCATTGATTACACCAGAGTTTTTATCTTTGAAATTCACACTATTTGAAGCTGTTCTACATAAACAGTTGGCTCCTTTACCACGAATAACAAGTTTATTACCAACATATGCCCCACCTGTTGTCACAGGGGTGCAAGGGGGAGAAAGGAAGGTTGTTGGTAAAGGCGAGAGTACGTATGGTGTATCGCATGAAGAAGCGAAGGTTGTTGGAAAAGTTTTCACAACCAAAATTCCAACAACAAATTCGACAGCACGGCCACTAAGCTCAACGGTGGTAACTACAATGAAATTTACAAAAGTCATTGTGATTGGTTCTTCTGGTGAAGGGGTAAGTAGTTCAAAACGAAAGGAAACTATTGAGAATGAAAATCTTGCGAATCAAGACAAAAGGAAAAAAATTCTTGTGGAAAAATCGAAAGAAGAAAGGAAAGCAGAGATTGAGGCTGAAATGGATCTTCAAAGGCATATTGCTAGTGTTTTGGGACAAGGACAAAAATGATCCTCCTCATATAAACAAGGGTGATCCGAAGAAACTGCATAGTTATGAGAATATTGAAGCTAGAGTGTGTTATAACGAAATGTATTCATTCGAGAAAAAGCACAATGAAAGTTATTCGATTAAGAATTCTGATCTTAATTAACTGGATTTTCCCATCAACGAAATGTTGTTTCTTGTTTCTCAATACAAGGTGGTGGAAAAGTTTAAGAATAAGGATGACTTTTCGCACATGAAATTAAGGTTTCATGCGATGTTGGAAGAAAAAGAAGATGTTTGGTACTCAACATTTCGAAAGCAGAACTGTTCGAGAATATGCTACAAAACTTCCGTTATCATGTAGTAAGGGCGAACAATGTTCCTTTCAAATTTTCTATTGCTGATTTTCCTCTGATGAACTTGAATGACTTGATCCAAGTTGCATTCATGCTTAAATATATTGATGAATCAAAACTTCAAAATACCAGCAAAGAAGAATTAAGGTTGGGATTTGGTCACATTAAATTGTTCATAGACAATTATTATGATTGTCTAGCTTTGACTGATGTTGAGTTGGCTGATGCAAATGAAAAAGAAATAACTGTTCCCCTGGAAAAAGTTTTTATCGAAGCTAAGTTGAAGAATTTTACTGATGGAGAAATTTGTTTATAGCCATTTGGAGTAGTGTTTGCTGGGAAGAGCAAGAAAGGAAAGTCATCAATGTATTTCTTTCAAATATTTGAAGTTTAAGGATATACAATTGCTCAGTATACGAACTTAATTGTTCGTATGAACAACTACAAGAAGTATAATGACGGTGACAAGGCCGAATTGAAGAAAGTAATGAATTGGTATGCAGAGATTCGTCGAACATTACACATGGCTGGTCAAATTTTGATTAACTGATTTCGACATTGATTACAAAGGAGGAGATTGTAGAGGTCAAAGTCTTGGTTGTAATATGTCGAAGTCTATAATGTTATTTTAGAAGGTACATTATGTCGAAACTTAGAGTTCGGTCCTTGTAATTTTTTGTATGCTTTTATGTTCTCCTATACATAGGAGTTGTACTTAGAGTTAGATAAGAATCTTAGAGCATCTTGTCTACATTTTCTCTGTAAACATTGAAAGCATAAATTGAGCTGAAACCAGATCTTATTTACTCTCGGTGTTCTAACTCTCGTAACTCTGATTTTACTTTACTTTACTCGATTCAATACTTCATCATAAATAGAGAGGAAGTAATGAAATCTCTGCACACTCTTTATATATATATATATATATATATATATATATATATATATATATATATATATATATATATATAACCTTTTTAATAACGTACAAGCTGGATAATAGGCATCAAACTACTAATACACCTAAAGACCCATTACATCTAATGACCCATTATTCTATCTCCACATAATTCGTAAAACTATAATACCATTTCTAAATAATAAAACTATTAACTAGATCATAAAATATAAAACTATAAATACTTTATTAATCTCAATTTTCTAGCATCAAGATTATACCCAATAGTCACCCGCTAATCTTGCTTCAAATTGGCTTAGTTTTCCTTGTCTTTCCATTTTGTACACTCGTTTGCAAAGTATCCATACTCTCTACAATCATAGCATCTAAACCTACTCTTATCACCTTGACCCGAGTCACTTCCACGTCCTCTTTCACCTCTACCGAATCCTCTTCCTCGTCCTCATTGCTTATCTTTATGCCCACTACTCTTGGAACCTGTTAACAAGAGTTTTCCTTTTCTCACTTTTCATCATGACTTTTGAGTCTATCTTCATAGGCTTTTATCCTTCCTACAACTTCTTCAAGTGGCATACTTTCAAGATCCAATTATTTCCCAATAGAAGCTACAATTGGCAAATTCTTCATTGGAACATAATTAAGAAACTTTCTAACAATCACTTATTCAGCAAGACATGAACAAAGACTTTTAAATTTCTCAACTATATCACTTATCTTTCCCGAAAAATCATTTATTGTCTCGTCATCCTTCATCTTTAGCCTCTCCAACTCACCCATTAATGTTTGCAACCTTACCTTTTACACTTGTTTGGTACCTAAGTACCGAATCTTAATGGATTCCCAAGCATCTTTTGCATCCTTGTATTTAGCTACCTGCGAAAGAACATCTTCTGAGAGAGTGGGATAAATTAAAGCTTTTGTATTATAGTTCTTTTTCTCGTCCACATCCTCTCCAAGTACAATCTTCTAAAGGCCATGTGCTCTCAACACAGTTTCAACCAAGATTGGCCATGAAGTGTAATTGGTTTCAGTCAATTAGGGCACTGGAGTGTGACATTACCATTCTCACGAACCGTTGATGTACATGTACTTTCTACCATTTTCTTGCTGAAATTTCGAGTTTAAAAACACAAGATTTGATCTCGTTTTTTTATTTTCTTCCCGCTTGCTACCTTCTTTCTTTTCTTGCTACTTCTTTCTTTTCTTCTTTCTTCTTGCTACTTGCTTTCTTGCTTACTTTCTTATTGATTCTTGCTACTTTCGTGTTGTTTCTTGCAACTTGCGTATTGTTTCTTGCTGCAGATTAATCGATCTGTATGTCACCAAATGTGATACCTTGCTGCTTGCTTTACTCCTCTTTTCTTGCTGCGAACTAGGTATGAGCATGGTGCTCTGATACCAAATGTTGGGTGTAAACCTGCAACCTCTTTGTTTAATATACACACACACGAAGACAAATGAAAGAAAGAGACATTTCTTATTAAATGGATTAAATAAGCAATTAAAAAGAGGGGAAGTACTAAAATCTCTGCACACTCTTTATTCATATAAAGAAAGACTATTTATAGCCTTTGAAATAATGTGCAAGTTCGAAAGTAGGCATCAAACTATTACTACACCTAAAGATTAGTTACATCTAATGACCCATTCTTCTAACTCCATAGAATTGGTCAAACTATAGTACCATTTCTAAATAATAAAACTATTAACTAGATGATACAATATAAACTCATAACTACTTTATTAATCTCAATCTTCCAATCTTCCAACATCAAGATTATACCCACCGCTAAATTGGAATCCATCAAACTTAATGCCCAACAAAATTAACATGATTAATCAATTAATTGAACTTGCTATTTAACAACCAAATATTGGAAGTTTCCATCTTATCAATTTTACATTTTTTGCACTTTAGTCATTATTGTAAATTTTTATTGCTTTTGACAAATTGAATGTACATAATTGATTTAAGTCAATTCTTGTTGATTTGATTCTTATTATTGCTATTACAATTTATTTATTTTATTGCATCGTTTTTTAGTTTTTTATTTGTTGGTCTCAGAAACCATCAATTTTTTGTGTTTGTGTTGTTATCGTTGATTGGTTGTCTTTGATCAAATTATTTTTCTAAGCTTAATAACAAATTAAATAAAAAGCGTCATAAAATATTCCATAAAAAAGTAGTTAGTTAATGCCAAAAAATGTTTTAAAATAATTAACGATCAAGGAAGATTTAACTTAATAATACATTTTTAACATAAAAAATATAGAAAATGGTATTGAAAACCAAAATAAATATAATTTTGGTTTGTTTAAGTTCTCAATGGTCTTTAATAACATAAAGACAATATTATATAACTCATAATTCCCTGTACTAGGCATAATTTGTAGATCCAACGAATTTTACCATT